AATTTTTTAATCTACTATAATTATTTAATTCATGAAGAAGAGAACTAATGGACTGTGTTTCCATTGAAGCCTATGGGAGTACGCGGTTTGACAAACAGACGTGCTCCTCCTTATTGTAGGCACATGAAGGTAAAAGCACCAATTATGTCCGTATGTTGGGGCCCAACTGTATTTTGGAGGACAAGCGCAAGCGCGATCTCAAGATTGACACAACGATTTAGGATGCTGTGCCATGTTTTTCTGATCTTGACGAATCTCTTTTTTGCAGACAACAAAGATCACGAGATGAAGTGTGAACGCGTCCGGAATATTTGCAAGGACTTCACGGTCCGTGCATTCCTGTTCATCCCAACGTGGTTCATATTGGCCATCCTGGCATGGTCAGCAATTGCATCCCTCACAGAAAACCGATTCATGTTCCCGGGTGGCGTCGGGTTCCACATTTTCTGCCTGCTGAACGGCTGCATATTCCTCAGCAAGATTTTCGCATTCCTCCGTCTCCCGCCACTCTTTGGCATGCTCATCGCTGGGATCCTTTATCGGAACTTCGTCACACCCCTGGACCAAGATTTAGCTGATCATTTGCGTACTTTCGCATTATTGGTGATTCTCACGAGTTCGGGTTGCGGACTAGACGCGGATGCCCTTCGAAAAATGGGACTCCCAACCACACTGCTTGCCATTTTTCCGGGGTTCGCCGAGGCCGTCGTGGTCGCCATGTGCTCCAAGTTGCTTCTCAACTTCCCGTGGACGTACGCAATTATGCTGGGACTGATGAATTCCCCAGTTTCAGCAGCAGTAGCTGTTCCCGGGTTGCTCGGCTTCCAGCAGCAAGGGTTCGGTGTGAAAAAGGGCATCCCGACGATGATAATGGCAGCGTCTTCCATCGACGACGTTCTGACCATCAGCGGGTTTGCAGTCATTTTTGGCATTGCTTTCTCTGACGGCGGAGCAGCCTGGAAGCTTTTCTCTGGAATTTTGCAATCTGTGGCCGGGGTCGTTTATGGGATCATCATGGGCTCTGTGTGTTGGCTCATTCCAAGTGACAAGTGCTCTGCTTTCGTGGAGATCCGTGTGCTGATTGTCACCATGTCAGCTGTGACAGCGTTGTTTGGTGCTGCCGAACTCGGCTACGATGGTTTCGGGGCACTGGCAGTTGTCGTCACGGCATTTGTTGCCAACGTGAAATGGCACAAGGATTGGAACAAGCTCGGATACAATCCCGTCGCCAAGATTTACTCCTTGGCCTGGTACATGTTTGAGCCGCTGCTCTTCGGCTTGATCGGAGCCGAGATCGACGTGGAAACACTGGAAGTGCATGCCATGTTGAAAGGGTTGCTGATTCTCGGCCTGGGATTGGCAATCCGGATGTTGGTGACGTTTTTCACGGTTTCCGGAGCTGGGTTGACGCGGAATGAGAGAGTCTTTGTGGCATTGGCCTGGATTTCGAAGGCATCCGTTCAAGCTGCTTTGGCTTCCGCCGTTCTGACCCGCGCAAACCAGAAAAATCTTTCGGATGAGACAAAAACCTGGGGACGAGACATTTTGACGATTGAGGTTTTAGCCATCATGATCACGGCTCCATTGGGTTCCTTTGGAATCTCATACTTTGCCCCACGGCTGCTTGAGAAGGAAGATAGTGCAGTGCATGAATAAAAGTGCAGGTTTTCTTTTACTTAATTTTACAAAGCAGAGTTTACGTCGGTATCAACATTTTACCTTCTTGCAAACTGCAGCCGTTCATAGTTCGATCAATGCGCTGAAAAGTTTGAATTTTCTCAGCTAAAAATGATGAGTTTTGAAAATTTGATACGCCGCGGAAAAACCAAGAATGAGTGATTCAAATATCTTGCGGAAGTGGTGTTGAAAATTGAAATAGACAATAGAACTGAAATATGGGATTAAGAGGGTGGCGCCAGGAAAACAGCAGAAATTTGAGAAAGTCAAGGATCTGATGGGACTGAGTGCAACCTCAAGTTCCCACAAGATTCAGAATTCTTGGGGAAATCTTTTTAGAATGATAATACGCTCAGGGACAAAAATGTCATAGCAAGGAAATTGTTTAATTAGCAAATCATTTCCTGTATTGATCATCAGTTGTTTCTGTGTTGTATTGCACAAAAGACTGCTTGCAGAAACTGCTGTTGCCAGAAGACTGATCAAATACCCAAAAATATATCAACCTTACAGTAGGGTGTCAAGCACCCTGGCTGCAGCCTGGCTGATTGTTCTTTAAAACTTCATTTAAAACTTTCTCAAAAAAAAAGATCCAAGTCAAAACAATCTACAAACCAATGCTATTTTGAACAAGTGGCACAGCAGCGCATTAAAAATGTTGAAAACTGTGTCAAGTTTGGAATTTCTTGAGGAACGGAAATATAATCCTACAATATTTATTTTGAATATTGGCTCCCAAAAAAATGAGTCATCCTGTGTATGTGCTACTGTTGCAATACTGTTAACCCCTCAGGATGAACCCAGAGTAGGCCCAACAAAAGATTCTGGGTGCTCTCCAAGAGCCCATTGAGATAAGTACAGTTGACAAAAGTTGAAGGTCCTTGTAAATTCTCATGAGAATTTTCTTTGGAGGAAGTATCCAGCCATTTGAATCTGTATGTATGTATGTAGGTGAAATGTATAGTGCTGCATTGTAAGTTTCCACGGATACAAACATTATCATTTCTTGGTGCACAGAATTTTCAATAATCCCAGATTTCCATCAGTTGAACAAGTTAGGTTTGCAAAAGTAAGAATATATCAAGCTTCATTTTTTGGATCCATTTTTGTATCATCACAGAAAGAGAAAGAGGCATCTTCAGCTTCAATTCATGATATCTTTCACAAATAAAAGAAATTTGCAGAAATGTTTTTGTTTTCTTTAGTTGTGAATTGTGCCATATGCTGAGCATTTTTGTTTGTTGATTGCTTCTTTGAAGAACAAGTTTGTTTTCAACTCTTTGCAGTTTTATTTGCTTATTGTGTTTGTAACTGTTTTTCATAACACCTGTGAGGAAAAAATATAGTCCTCTTTGAAGAACCAAGGAGAGTATGCTCCTGCTCTATTCATTCTCAAAGCCATAAATACAGAAATGGTGCTTCAAATGGAATTTGCTCAGAGGCTGTATAAATTGCCTCAGGAATTGGAGGTGTCTTGTATCCAAATGTCTTTTTCAAGGAGTTGAAAATCTGCAAAAGCCATGAAACAAGTTGATCCATGTGGCAGACCTGCTTAGCTAAGTCCTCTGTTCATTGGAGACACATTCCATTGTTGGAGGCACAGACTCAGAAAAAAATTATGAGGAGCAGTGGAAAAAATTTTTGATCATGTTTTGACCATGGCAAAAGTTAAAAGATCATCTGAAGCCCCTTGTCCCAAAACATGCAGTGACAAGACAACCACTTGGGGCAGTTGGAAGTTCTTTGTTTGCCCACAATTTTTAGTATTAGAAGATCCCCTGACACTGAGATGATTGAAAAATAATATGCAATTTCCCTAACATTAAAGTCATAGTTCTGTTTGTGGGAAAACAAACTGAACATACTTAGAGTGATAAATTTTGAACTATATAACCCAAAGTGAAGTTGTCCTGCTGAGCGGAAAATTTTTCGAAAGATAGGAATGTAAATGTATAAAAAGAAAGAAGAGGCGATCAGCAATGATATTAAGGAAAGGAAAGAAATGAACTTGGAAGCAACCGTGGACCAAACAAAGAAGGAAGCTCAGAATGGCAGGAAAGAAGTGGATCATGTTGAGCAGCACTTGGGGTTTCAACAAGTCACTGAGCTTGTTTCTCATGGGCAGCATCTCCACCGCACATGAAGAATGCATTGGAGTGGTTGCAAACAGAACTGGCTGCCATGAAGACCAAGCTGTGAGTTTCTCTCTGTTTTTTTTTGTGTGTCCTGAACTAGTCTGATTTTGTGACTCAGTGGTTATCGTTGATAATGGTGTTCATGTAGAATTTGTTGGAATGTCTGGTCCGGTATGTAAATGCATTAGTGGGTTCCTTGAATTGGAATCTGCTGAGGAAACATGCCTGGGTCTGGCTTTTGCATAAAGTCACGGGGTTCTTGGGTTGTCTTCATCCCTTTTGTAGGGAAATTTCCCTCCATATTTCTGTAAAGTTTATTCACGGAGTCTCGTAGTTTCTGAGTTTTCCAGTAATGAATTTGTATTTTGGACCAGAAAAGTATAGGTTAGCTCAACTCAATTTTTACCGTATCTTTGATACAGTATTTTGTTACTCGCAGTTTGGTCAGTTTGGAATGCGAGGGTTTGTAGTTTCCCTCTTATCAACTGTGATCATTATAACATTTATGTTATGTCGGGAGTCAACTCTTCCCGACTTTCACTCTTTGAAACCCTCAATACTTGGATGCTCAAATACGTACATCATGAAATCAAAGATTTTTGGCAGCTTTTTAAATTTGTTGGATTATTTTCTAATTTTCTTCAGGCCATCAGGTCTATACTTGAACGTTACTGGTGATGGTTGATGGCGCTGCAAAATATTAAATATAATATTACAAAAAAGACATTCAATAGAATAACATAGAAAAGACCAGGAAGTTTCATGGATTTTCAGGGTGCAAATGGTTGACACAAATGAATCAATATTTACTTTAATCTGTACCTTCACAAAAATGAACACAGAATATTTGAGCAGTGAGAGCAGAAATACGGCATATCCGTTTGTCTAGGCCCAGCAGCATTCTGAAGCATAGGGAAAATATTATTGCTGAAAATTACTGTATTATTGATGTATTACCTTGTATGGTATGCATGTTCCTTTTTTTTTTTGCAGATACCATGATCATAGAAACAAAAAGTATCATCACTTGACTTGCTGCTTGAGTTCTGTGCGGGCGAGCTTTAGTGTATGCCCATGATTCCCATTGCCAGCTCTGAGAATTCCCGGAACAACGAGCATTGAGGAATGATGCACTCTCAGTGCTGGTAGGGAAATCGTGACCTCGGTAGAACCAGCGAGGGCCAACAGATGTCGCAGTCAGGAGCTTGCGACCTCAAGAATTTCGCACAGCCAATCAGCGCCACGGCTGCCATGTTCCTTGAGGTTAGTTCCAGGTTGGATGTCGTAGGGGAAGGTAGCCTGGAGATGAGTTTATCACGATGAGATGATGCGTGTTTAGGTTTGGAGCCGAAGCCCATCATTGCTGAATGAGGTTAGTGTTAAAAATCGCAAACTATACATTGATTGGCAATTGCACAGTTGACGTCTTGCTGGAATATTTCTGAGACCAAAGATTCCATCGAAGCTGAAGTTGATCTTGGTGACGTCATCAAAATTGTTTATAAATTTAGCAAAAAAGTTATCGATTTCTGTCCAAAAGAAATGACTCAAATAACTTACTTTCAGAAACCTCTATTGCAGGTGTCCTAATTGTGGTTTTAACAGTTGCAGAACTCTGCCCTTGACAGTACCACCATGGGGTTACTATTGTTTGAACTTTTTCTGTGATAATGCCACGGCACCAGACTTGAGTTGTTTAAGTTACCTTCTGAAATAAAATTAAAATTTCTAACAATCAGTAGGAACAGTATCAGTATTTTTCAGTAGGAACAAAGAAAAACCAACCTTCAAATGCTGCATCAGGACACAATCCAGATTCAAGACCCAGCCAACAAAATTACCTCATCATTGTGATAATAAGAGACATATCTTGCTTCACAAACGTCTTCATAATAGTATTTTTTGCCAATGTTTATGCAATTATCATTCCACACAAGAATGACACATGCCAAAGCAAACATTGCTCAATTTGATACATACTGATTTCTTTTCAAGTTGCGCTTGATTTTGTTGACTTTTCTGCAATCTGATTGGATGCTTGATTGTTGCAAAAATACTTTTGTTTGATTTTTCTTTTTGTACAAATCAATATATATATTTCTGCTGCTGAAAGCTATGTCTAAAAGGAAAAAGGTAACAAAAGAATTAAATCTGGAAACATTTTGAAAGGGACAAATACAGTCCTCAAAGAAAATTGCACTGGGAAAAAGAGTCAGAACCATCCAAATGGTCCTATAAAGAAAGAGACTGAACCACTATACTTGATTCTTAATAGTGGTGGTCCTCTATATGCAGATAATTCTTTGACCGTTTACAGTGGAGTAGATCTGTATAAATTCCTGCACACCTCAAATAAGGGTGATGAAAAGGAATGTTGCAAGAAATCACTCATGCACTGGCATGCAAGAAAATAAGAGGATCCATTTTTTGTTTGTCCTCAGAGAATTTGTCATCACTATATTTTCTGGCATTCCCTATCACCTAGGATGAGACAACGCCTTACATATTTTTGCCAGATTTCATTGTCAAAAGAAAGCTTCAAAATTGACAAAACATGAAAATTGTTGGAAGTGACATTTATGTAGGCATGCCATAAAGTCCACAGGATTCAACAGATTTTCAGGTGGGCAGCTGCTTTTGTCCTTGCCAATCAATGAATGGGGGCAATTTTCAGTAAATAAGAAATAATTTCCTAAGTAATGAAAATAATTTCTTGAAACATTCTGAATTTGTACTTCAAACATTTATGACTTATTTTTATAACATTCAAATCATGATTTAGACATATTTTTCAAAGCTCCAGTGAGACTTGTGAAATGGCCACCCAGCCATGTAGAGGTTTAAATTATTGAGGGGATGGGTGTGCAGAATCCTCACTGGGAGCCTCAGAATGTTTTTGGAGAGTGAACTGTGAACACCAGTTGTGTTTTCTGCGTCAGTGGAATGTTTGCACTTGGGTGCTAAATTTCATTTTCCAAGTGTCTGTAAGCACTTGTTTGCCCCTAGGGGATATTTGCATATGGTCATTTAGAATTGGCTCAAGCCATTTTCAATCCCAATATTTTACTTTTTATCTTTAATGAAAGTTTAAAATTAACATTGTGGTGTTTGATATTGCAAAGGCTTAAATTTGAACTGCACCCAGAATTGCAATCTAGGTTTGTAGAATTGAATTGTGGCCTTTTGCCCAAAGATGTACACACATTTTATTTTAAACATCCAATGTCTTTTAGTGTATTTGTTCTAGTCACACAGCATTAAAAGGCATTGCTCAGTTGCTTACTTTCACATCCAAGGTGTGAGTGCAATCCTGAGGTGTGCTTCTAAACATAAGACATCTCTGTCAAGTGCACTAAAAGTTCACTTGTCCTACATTTTTTGTGTTTTCAATTGTTGATGGTTTTCTGGGCAGTCTTTTGTAGGTCCCAAACTCTCAATTGCATTCTAGTGTAGCAGAAGACCTTGTGACTTTCTGCCTCTTGCCCAGGCTACTAGATCTTATCTGCTTGCTGTATATTTTCACTCAAGGTAAAATGACCTGGTGCCCTGGCACTGGAAACAGTGTCTCTCTGTTCAATGAATGGGGGAGGATGCCGCATTGAATTGAAGCAGCTCCCCTCCCCCAATAACCCCTGGAATAAAAAAAATCTGGTGGGTCCTTGTGTTTGAAAAATTCAACTTGGGGATGTTTTTCATGGAACTGTTTCCAGTTAGGGAGGTTTTTTCAACATTATCCTCTAAGGGATTGGAAGGGGACTGGAGGGAAATTCAACTTAGGGGGTTTTTAACTTAGGGAGGTTCAACTTATCCAGGTTGGGCTGTAATATCAGGCTCTGGTTCTGCTTGGCTTGTTCAAGTTGATGAGTGACCAGTTTTTTTTTTTTGATCATCAACTGCATTCTTGTCCTCTGATTAGAGACCATGGTTTTTAAAATTAAATGTAAGTCTTTGGCAGAAAAGAGTTTAATTATGCGGACATGTAACTTGAATATAGAGGCATTCTATAGCCAAGAATTGCACAAAATGTGCGCACAGTTTGTTGTCAGGAGGAAATGAGTGAAAGCATTTGAAAGGGATGCTCTTCCACAGAGCATGATGCAGGACTGTCATGGCTTTATTTGAATGGCGATGATGACTATACTGTATTGCACACTCTTGAGAAAATGCATAAGAAAGGGTATCCATATGATACCCATCTAGTACAGTAAGGGAAATCTTCATGATTTATGTGATTAAATTTTAATAACTTACACCTATAAATATACCCATATTTATGCGGTATTTACAGCATTTTTAGGAGCCTGCAAACCCCCCCCCCCCCTCCCTAAGTTCCTGATTTGAGCTAGCTCTTTTGTCTGTTCAAAAGAGGATCATAATTATGAAAATCCAAACCTGACCAGGAGCATGACCATAGTTATTATGTAACTTTGCTCCCTCATCAGTCCAGCACTTTAAATGCTGCATACAGCATCCATTTCTTCATTGGATTGTAACATCAATTAGGACGTTTGATTCATAAGGTTTGAGACTATTTTTGAAATACAGTAGATTGAAGAAATTTTCAAAAATTCTAAAAACGAATTTTTTTACTTTCATTGCTTTATCATTAGGCAACACTTCTGTGCTGTTTAAGACCTTAACAACCGCCGATTTCAATGAATATTTTCATACAATAAATTCCCCTATCAAAGCAGTGCCGAAAATCCAGTTCCTTCAGTGGATTAGCCACCCTGTGACTTCTGGCTGTTCTCAATGGCAACAGTGGTGAAGAGAGACCTGAAATGGCGATTGATTTTGAGGATAGGGACACCCGATCTCGATTTTTGGCTCTTGTCTTGAGGGTTGAATATGATGAAAAAATACATTTAAATCGGCGGAGAGTACCTTGAAGAGCATTGAAGTATTTCCAAATGATGAAACTACTGTATTAATGCCAGTAAAAATTATTTTTGGGAATGCTGAAACTCCGTTGGCTGTTTTTCAAGAAGTCTCAAACTTGTAAATGAATCCTCGTATGTCTGAATGTGCCTTTTGCGATGAACACTTATATATATGGAACATTTCTTCATTATTTTGGCATTTATTCCTCAGCATTTCACTGCTAATTTGTTTTTTTTTTTTGTTGGTGAAAACTCCAGGAAAATAATTACTTCATAACGTTTTCATCATGACATCCTCAAGGAAGAATTGATGAGGAAAATTTGTACTGCATACTGGAGGAACTTCACTTTGCAGATGAGGACCGCTCCCATATTTCAAGCAGGGTAGCTCCGGCGCATGCCCGCAATTCCCAAGACCGCAGCAGCAGCAGCAGCAGCTCCACCACCACCACCACCACCACCACCACCAGCGCCAGCAGCAGCAGGGTGCCTGGTGAAACGTATGTGTGGCCGGCTGAGAGTATCGATTGTGGGCCAGTGCAATACGCGGGCGCTGTGCTCCCAGTTGGGAGTCGGTGTATATAATCCGGAGCGACACAGTCTGGCATTTCTGCTGCTGCTGCTGCTGCTCTCTCTCTCTCTCTCTTTCTCTGTCCATCTGCTGGATGGAGACTCTCGCCAGAGCGTGAATATATTCGGGTGACGAAACAGCTGCTGCTCTGGAATTTTCAAATTGCATCGAATTATAAATAATACAGCAGTGTATATAAATTCACGTACAGTACCGTGTTTTTTTTTCAATTTTCTTGTGCAAGTAGGTGAAGAAAGAAACCGGCGCTTTTGATAAAATCAGGAATTTTCATTAGACATCATTTTATATTTGAAAAACAAACAAAAAATTAGCTACTGCTGGTGTGGAAAAAGGTGCTCTTTATTCTGCTGCTACTGCTGGGGCTTTTATTGTGACAGCATGGAGAAGTTGCTGGTGATGGTCGTCGCGGCATTATTTTTCAGTGAGTTTTGATGTTGGTGTGTCTCTTTTTTTTTCGATTACAGTACTCATCTGTCCAACGGAAAGAAAAAAAAATCCGTGATGATGGAATCGGAAGAAGGAATAATGCAAGACGTATTATTTAGTCTTTGATTATGATGACGTAGATTCAGCAGCGTGTTCATTTATCATTCAAACCATGATGAGTATCGCTGAACTATATATGAGTTCTTTGATCGATCGCAGCTTTCAATTTTCATTCGTCAATTTCAGCAGTTTATGTGACATATTTTATTAGTTGATGGCTGACTTGACCAATTTTCGTGGTTTTTCATTTTTCTATGTTTCATGGACTTGGGGTTTATTTTACAGCTTTTTCTTTCCTTGGATGATTTACGGTACATCATATCCTGGGTTTCTTTGCGCAAGTTTTTTTCTTAATACGTAATAATTGTGCTGTGTGAGTCTTTCTTCGAAAGAATTCCAACTACAACAGTGCTGATGCTTCAGTGATTTATCCAACCACTTGAATTTGGTGTGTGTTTTTTGACTTCCTTATAATCAGAGGCTGAAAATTTTTTGGAATTGATGAATAATACCGATCGCGAGGGATAATGTTCTTCGAATGCCAGGATACAATTTTCTGATGTAGTTAAGGTAAAACCCGTTGTTGTTGTTGATATAGGTTCTGTGATTCTTGTTTGGTTCCAGTTCGGATTTAAAAATGAAAATTTCATGACACAGCTTGTTAAAAACACCGAAAGAAACTAACTATACTGGAATCAAAATAATTTTTACTTGAAGTTCATTATTAGGTGGTGTTTTGTTTGTTCTTTTGTCCATTGGGAATACATTTTTTTATTATCTTTCTTTTCTCCCGACTTTAGTTTACACTGACACCAGCCTAGAATAAACATTTTATTGTGAAATTAACTGGTTCTTTGAAAAATATGAGGTCCTTTTTCTCAAGGCTGTGCCATACTACACCAAGAATTTTTCATTACTGAAAATTGAGGTATGATCCTTGTTCATTTTGATAAATTTGTTGCAACAAAATTTCACCTGTATGTAGGATAAATTTCTCCACAACAATAACATGAAGTATGGTATACAGAAGAAATGAATGAATGAATAGGACACTTTATTTGCTGCTTTTCAGCATTCACAAGGTTCAATCAAGATTTCCACAACCAAACCCCCTTCTCACCCAACCCAAATCCACTCAATGACATTCCAATCACTTCATAGTAGGAAAGCACAAATTGATTTAAAAAAAGAAAATAGAATACAACATGAGTTAGAGTTGGACATCTGACATGTATGCATACATCCATCCATTCCCTGACATTGGTAACAAAGTATATGTAAAAAAAAAATTAAAGCACAAGGTCTTCAGCTTGTTTCTGTATGAAGTTTAGTTGAATGAACAAATTAGGGAGAATCTTTGATGATAAATCAAATAAAGCCAAATTTTGATCTTGATCTTTTACAATTTCAGAAAGGGTCTCTTCATTGAATTCCAGCACTTGTAAATCTTTCTCAAGCTTGTTTCTATCAGTATGAAATGCTGGACATAAGAAGAGAAGGTGCTCTGGTGATGCACAAACAAATGCATTTATGTTGCAAGTGTTAAACCACTTAGACACTTTTGAAAATTGGATGAATTTTTTACTAAAGTGCCGTGAATTTGTCAAAATAGCTACAGTATCATATATTAAGGGGATGTTAGATGATGCAAGTAGTAATGGTTTAGTATTGCCACAAGCAAGGTCAGCTAGTAATTTACTTGAGTTTACAACTTATCACAATTATCATGACAAAATTGAGTGATTAGAATCTGTTCTTTGTATACAGATAATAGCAATTACTGCGCCTGTCCTCTGTAACACTTGAAAGCCTTTTCAATTTCAGCTATTATTATTTTTCTTTCGCAGTTCTCAACATCAGCATGGTGAGTCCAGAACGATTAGAAGACGAAGACACACATGTCTCGGAAAAGCGAGAAGCATCAACATCAGCAGGGACAAGCAAAGGTTAGTGAATTTCAATCAACATCATATCACCAGACGGAATATTTTGCCTGCTAATTCCTTCCAACCGATGGAATTGAAATACTGCTGTACCTGGAGATGCGACTATACTGCATCCTGTTCCTCACACTGTTGTTTTATTGACTCTGTGTTTTTCTTTTTCTTTTGCGATCCTGAAAATGAGTCCATGTGCTGACGGACTATATATACATATACAGTACATATACAGTTACTCACCCGCATGTTCATGCTGTAGATCCAATTTTGTGTTTAGGACGATGAGCATATTCGGTACACGCCAGCGGGGGTTTTGAATGACTTGTTTTCTTTTTATGCGTTGTGAGAAGAAAAGACAGACGTGGGACTTGAGTGTGTGTTTATCTATATTTTTTGCATGCGATATTTTTCCCCCTTTTTCAACCGCATATTTTCCTGCGGTCCTAGTTTTCCATGGGAAGCCTTTGAATTAGGAGTAGTTGAAGAATTCAGCCGCAGTCTGGTGGGGATTATTTCATCGAGAAAATAATATTTTTTGCACATTAGATGACTTTTGCGCGAAATATCGATACAGGTAGTAGTTCGAATTTGGGTGTGTTTGCTGAAAACAGCGCGGCAATAAAAAAATAAATAATTAATTGAATTTTACGTGTGGTGCCTCGGGGACGGTTGGAAATGTTCAAGCTCCACGAACCGGAAAATGACGTGGATGCGACGGAAACACATTTTATTTCACAGTGGCAAATATATATGTGGGGTTTCATTTGTGGGGTCTCTCTGCTGATGGAATGGTCGATAATCCCGAAGGATTTCTTTGCAGGTCCCGGGAATGAAATGCGAGCCCTGCCAACTAAAATTGCTCCTCCGGAGGGAACCCAGGCCGTGTTTGATTCGGAAGGCTATCCCTGCGTGTTGGCTGAAGCCCGTGCCACTTTCATGATTACCTTTCCTGCGAAACTGGGCAAAAAGGGGACCAAGCGTGGTACCAAGGTATGGTACCGTGTACATGGTTCTATATGTTCGAGAGCTTCTAAAAGAGTGGAATGATACAATATATAGTCGGGTCTCGGCTATAACAAATACCCTTGTTGACGTACTTTCCAGATTTAACAAAAAAGAAAAACATGGAGACCCCCACATGTGGACACCTCAACCTGCAGACAATTTGACATAGGGACACTTATTTCATCATTTAACAAATTAATAAAAATAACCTAACATGAGGACACTGCAATGTTATAACAAAATTTCCCTTTGTTGAGTCAGTGTCCTCATGTTAGGTTATTTTTATTATTTGCAATGTTATAACAAAATGTCCCTTTGTTGAGTCAAATACATTTCAGGCCAAATTGCAATGAACAGATATTTCCAACCCTAAAATGTATGTAAGAAAAGTTCTTGGACATTTCTCTCACCAATTTACCATCCATTTTGCTAATTAAAAAAAATACCTCCAGCAGAGAGGGACTTCCTTCTCACTTTTTCACTTGAATATTTTTTTAAACAGAGAATGCCAACATTTCTATATACTGTACAGAGGTATCAGTATTAAATTCCCCAAATGCCCATATTGTGTTGAAATATATCGATTGGAATTAGTTTAAATTGGGAGACAAATTTTATTTTTATGGAATTATGGTGAGTATTTTGTACATAAAACACCAATTAAAAATTATATAATGCAAGTCTAACGGAAAATGAGTCTCAACTTAGGGACATTTAGACTTAGGGACACTCTTGATGCACCAATTACGTCCGCATCTCGGGGTGCCACTGTTTCAAAATATCGGGTGGCGTCATAAGGTCAGCTGTCTCATCGCAGTTTCACGCGCACTTTACAAATCTTTCTGATATTAATTTTTCCTTGGCACTTTAAAATGAAAACCTGAATTTTTTTTATGTGTGACGTTTTATTGATGACGACATTTCAACTCATTTTTTACTTCCAGGGCCATTTTATTGAAGTTCAGGTCTCGGATGGAGCTCTTTACCGCACGAAGATTCACTGTTACTTCTTGGACCAAACCCGAGTCGTTCGTCCGTTACACAAGGAGAAGAATTACCACATATTTTACCAAATGCTCGCCGGACTGACGCCAGACGAACGAGGTACAGTACATTAATTTTTCAAGGTTTTCCTGGCAAATTAATTGTTACTTTGGACGGCGAAGTTGTAACTGTAACTCGATACAATATATTGTGTGACAGAGTCGACGGTACTTCAACTGAACTCGGATTTTATGTCTGTGCGTTTCCTGGTTTGAGTTTTTCGTTGAACTTGAATTACAATTGAACCCTGATGAGTCAAACCTCCGCAAGATGAATTTTCAAGTCCTTGTGTGAATTCCCTTGGAAACACTGCGTTTAAAATCTCTCCACTATAAGGTTTCTCCCCTCAAACGACCATAACATAAGTTTTCTGGAGGCCTTTTAGCTATTGTCCTATTTTATTGACACAGTAAAGAGAAAACCAATAAAGATGTAAATTTAAGATTGGTGTCGAAAGGGAGTAAGAGACCAATTGGTCAACTTTTCCCTTGCCTTTAAGTTCAGCATGATTTCAACTCATTTAAGAAGCAATATAAGTCTCAGAATATCACCATTTTAAATTTTCTGCTGTTCTTCCATGTTTCCCACAACAGAAATACTAATTTCCCTGACTCAAAACCTCCTTGACTTGAATTTGTTTCTGTTTCCTTGATATTCAACTGGAGAGGTTTGACGGCATCATAGGAATAAATGTTATAATCTATAAAAGTAACATCTTGTTACAACAAAGCTGTTGAAACCTGTGAAATAACTTTAAACAAACTTTTTCTGTAATTTTTACTTCCTTTTCCGACACAAAAATTCCTGTTCCCCGACTCCATAACTCCTTAACTCGATTTTTGCTGGATCCTTGAAGTTCTACTTCCGGTCTGTATGTTCCACAAAAAAAATGAAGTGGATCGTTGTTGAAAGCTGAAGAGAAATTCCGATGCGTAGCTCGTTAAATCTGCTGTTTATTGGCTCTGCGACGCCGGGTTCGATGGGTTTTACTGTAGTTGTAAAAAAAAAAAAAACGGATTCGGGTTCGACGATTGAGTTTCGTTGAGCAAGGCCGAATAATGATTGTTACAAGATGCGATGTAGTGCAGAAACGTTAATGGTTTTGGTTTCGCTAAATGTTTTTTTTTTTCCTCTACAGCCAAATTGAACCTTGAGGGTTACTCGGTGCATAATCTGCGATACCTGAATTGTGGAGACGTGAGTCAAGATAAAAACGAAGACCGACGCAGATTCGAGGCGTGGAAAACTTGTCTAGGTGAGCTTGGTTTTTCTACTGATTTTTTACTTTCCGGGAATTTTTTTTTCTTCTTTCTTTTTTCGTGATTGATTTAAACTTTCATATTTCCTCTAGACTTCTAGAGACTCTCAGGAGTTGAGGCTGAACTGGATGAAAAAAAATTTAATCGTTGTTCCGGGTTGAGGAACACGTTTTGAACAATAAATTCTTGTGCTGGCTTTTTGTTTTTTTGTTGTTGTTGAAGGAATTCGGTGTTCCTTGGATGCAGAATTTTTTTGAAATTGGAAGGGTTTTATTCATTCTTGTATTAAATAAAAAAAATTAATGAATAAGTACAGTACATGTAGTGATTTTGGGATTATATTTTTATGTTCGAACACGACTTTGTGTTTTTCTTCTGGCATTTTTCGAAGTACTGTACAGAACAGTATACGAATGTATGTTCCTCGTACTTTTCTGTATTTCATCTTTAAATACAGTATATTGAAATATTGTTGCCCCTCATTTTTCTATGTCAAAATACAGCACGATAATTGGTCACTACGTATCGAATAGTGAATCCTGTTCTTGTGACGAAAAAAGATCAGCTCGATTTTTTCGAAATAAAGGGCTATCTTAAAATCTGTCGAACACTGAATTGTATTTCAAATTAAGCGCCGTCTCAATCCCAAATTTCGTAATGCAAGCTAAACCCTGTTCATATTGATTGAAAAAATCCAGATCTACGCATTTTTTTTTTATTTATGCAGCATGTTGAAGCAGTCCTAAAATTAGTAAAATGTCAGTTGATGATCGATTAGTTGTCCAAAGAATGGCTTCAATTAAAAAATAAGAATTCCAGCGATTGAGAAAATTATTTTATTTCATTTTAAATTACCGGTACTCCAAAGTCTAAAGCTTGGGTTCCCCGAAAAGCTAAATTTCATGGTACTCTGTTCATATTGATTTTTAAAAATCCCGATCTATGCAATTTTTGAGTTATTTATGCAGAATGTTCAAGCAGTCGTAAAATGTCAATTGATGATCGAGTAGTCGTCCAAAGAACGGCTTCAATTAAAAAATAAGAATTCCAGCGATGGAGAAAATTATTTTATTTTATTTTAAATTACCGGTACTCCCAAAGTCGGGTTAAAGCTTCGGTTACCCGAAAAGCTAAATTTCATGGTACTGTCAAACATTGTTTGAAGCCTTTCTCAGTCATGTAAAACGAAAAAAATTACATGATCACGTGTCACATTTTTCGGCGTTGTTATTATTGTTCGATCGTATCCAATCCTGATCATCACGAATCATGACGACGACGACGATGATGATGATGATGGTGGTCTTACAATAATGAGTGACCCTGTCAAGGATACCGTTTGTCGAGTTCCATGAAGAAGGAAAAAAAGTAAAATATGCTGTATAATAAAGTGTCGGAATTTCCGTGTCTCGTCCCATTCCAGGCGTACTTGGAATCCCGTTCCTGGACGTGGTTCGAGTACTGGCGGCAGTACTTCTCCTGGGAAACGTGCAGTTTACCGAGGGTCAAGGAGAAGGGGTTCAGCCGGCCCAGAGTTCCCAAGTGCAAGCTGTTGCCCAGTTACTCGGGGTTTCCGACACTGCCTTGTTCCAGGGCCTCACGTGTCGCACTAGGAACGTCCATGGACAGCTTGTCAAGTCCCGCTGCGACGTTAGCTGGGTACGTTTTTTTTTTTTTTTAAACTAGAGCTTTTTTGTTGTTGAAGTACTGTAGTTATTTATTTATTTAAATATCTACAGTTGATCCTTGTGCAACGAACCCGGGTTCCGACGCCGTTTTGCCTCGGGGGGAATAAAAAACTGACTTCGAGAACAAGCCTCAAAAAACTCTTTTAATTTTAGGAACGGCGAACGTTTTATGATTTTATGACAAATGATTTTAGAATGTGAAAACAAAATTTAGAATGAGAAAATTTGATTCATGGGGGAAATTTAAATCTTGAGCGAATTTAAATTTCCTGTGCGCATCTGATTTTGCTCGTTTTAAATACTGCACTGTAATTTTCAATTGTAACTTATCATTTATTGATGTTTTCTTAGTATTTTTTATCTGTTTTTTTTTTCGGTGCCCACTTTATTTTACGTCCATAATTTTGGACTGGAAACAATTCAATGGTTTTCTTCAGGCTCCTGTGAGGAATTGTGTCTTACATTAGTAATGCTTTGAGCAAAAAAACCAAACGCTGAAACAGATGATGTCCTTTGCTCAAGTATTTTACAGTATTTGTAATCAACTCCGTTTGAAATATACATGCACATGTAACTAGTCTTCGAAGAATATTTTGAGGTGAAAAGGTAAGAGACATGATCGCGGTTTTCACGCGAATGTTGGCTGATAAAGCATCGTAAAGCCCGATTTTGTGGGAACATGTTAAAATTTAGTATAAAGATATTCTAACTGATTTTAGCTGATGGCATTTGCATTTTGGTTGATCAGAAAATTTAAATCAGCAACTTTGATGACATCAGAATAACTGTAGGATTAGATTTCAGCATCTCTGTAAGAGAAGATTTCAGAATGACGATAGGATATATTCATGCCGGTAGTTTACTTAGAAATTTGAACATTTTGGAATGATGGACATATTCATATTCCGGAAAATGTAGATAACTTCGGATTGCAAAAAGACTTCTGGAATCCGCGTGAAGGTCCCAACTCCATCGAATCCTGGTGTTTCCTGGAATAATTAATTGTCCATATGATCAGCGGGAACCTTTCAGGATTGTAATTTTAATTATCTGTTTTAAATCCGTAACTTCAACTGCTAGTTTTTTGACCAACATATTCCCAATGAACTCATTTATGAAGCCTCTTCCCTTCCCTTAAAAAAAATCCCTGGGGTGCGGAAGACTTTCTCATTTTAAAACGAAGCAAGAATAAAAATGAAAAATGAACCGTTATGCCTGTTCTAGGCTCACCCGGTAGAGCTAATGGAATACAAGTGTTCCGTTTGATGACAGCTTGATCAATGACACGTTTTTTTTTCTTCTTGCCTTTGCCCTCGGCAATGGTCATGAGAAAATTGCAGGTCTCGCCTTTTTTTTGGGGAGACCTCGTCGGCAAGTCGCGTCCCACTTCTTTTTTTGTTGCTGTTGTTGTTGTGTCCCTCCTTGCCTCGATTGCCCCAGAGTTTGCGCACAAATTGCAGAGCCTGAGAGAAGAGAAGGGAAATGGCTGCTTTTGATAGAAAGAAAGAGCGAGAAAAATTAATAGGCGGTGTCCGAGAATAGGGGAGACCCCTTGAGTGCCTTTCTCGCTTTGCGGTCAACTTACAATCAGACCAATACTTTTACACAGAAAAAAGAGAGAGAATAATAATGATGATAAAATTTGTCCCCCCCCCCCCCCATTTTTCCGACAGTGCACAAAAAATGAAGAAAAGGTCTCAAGCTCGGGGCCGAATGTCGAAATGCTGTCATTGTCCAGATTTTTTTTTCGTCTCACGGGAAATCTAATTTTCGAATAACTTCGGAGCAAAAAAAAAAACTGGGTAGAAGTAAATTTACAAGAGTGGCTTCCCAAATTTCGTGTTATCTCTTCTTTTTTTTTTTGGTTTCTCCGGGCTTATTATTGGATATGGCGTGATTTTCAAGAGCTTCATGTAATAATAGCTGGGCGTTTGTTTCAAATATTCCTCACCCATGTTGGAATGGAACCACGCTTGAATATTTCCATAATGTACGTCGCTATCGAGAAAATAATATTCTAGGTGTCACACTTTCACAGTATTTCTTTTAATCGACGCAGTTTTAGCCAATCCGAAGGGCCAACTAATATTTCATCTGATCCAAAATTTTCTGAGAAACAATAACTTTGCCCCAGATTTAATCACGTTAGAAAAAAATTTGAAGTTATTTTTCAATGGCACTGATGGGAAAGTTTTTCTTTTTCGAAAATGTGCAGTAATTAACAGGTGTAGTGTTGAAATTATTACACGACGAACAGATAGTTCCTAGAAGAATTCCACTCTAAAGAACCGAAAACTTTTGAACTATCCCTCGCGATAATTGCTTCGATAACTTTAAAAACTATGCATTTATTAAGGGTCAAGGATTTAAATTATTTGACAATAAATACATTTTCTCTTGAACAATTCAGTTTTAAAGTAAGAACAATTTTTGAGCATTTTTCTCAAGACAGTTTGTTTTGATAGCTTTGTAAGATCATCATTACCGCTCTGAAGTATTGTATGTATATGATTTGATTACTGGACATATTAAAACGTGGCTTTTGTGTGAGCAACTAAAAAAATAAATAATCTTTGAAGTTTGATCCGTTTTCAGACTTCGGATCAAGCCGGCATTCGTGATCTCCTCGTATATTTTCGGCCTCTTATGTTTTTTTATGATTGTCTAAGTGTCAATCAAGTCGAGGAACGAACGACAGGTTCGGGTTATATTGAAACAAAAAATCGTGCAGTTTTTTGTAGCAGTTTTCCGACGTTTTCAATGCCGTGATCCGATA